TACGTGGCTACAAGGCAGAGATATCTAAGCTCGTCACTATAGACTTGGTAGTCAATGGAGAAAAACAGGCAGTTCTGAGGCACATTTCATCTGAGCAGACTGAGATGATTGTTTTTGTGTGAAAGGGAACATACGTAACTGCCGCGGTCCGAAGGGGGGATGGGACCGTGGCACCGCACCGGTCCGGGACACGAGGGTGCAAGTCGAATCCCTTATTCACGCGTGTACGCAGTCTTTTATCAGCTCGGGAGGGGAAAGGGCCAGAACATAGGACGGAGCATGAGACAGACAAGCGGGGGGACAAACCAGGATAGGGACACGGGCAAAAGGGGGAGGAGCGGGGGAAGCAGGGAGCAGGCAAACTCGTGGCAAGCCTGGGCATGTCCAGGCTGTGCTCTGTGTAGTGCGAATACAATGAAACCACATAATAACAAAAAAGTCCATATAATAACTGTAAGGTCCATATAATAATTCCTGTCAATTGCTGTATCTTTTTCTCCACGTCTGGAACTGTTCCCATCACATGTAACTACTTATTTCTCTCCATTGGCTACCAAGAGATTTTTAAGGTGACCAGCTTCATGGCAGATGTGTACACTGAGCCAGGCAAATTCTACCCATGGTCTTAGCTGATGATCCATTCAGCTATGGTAATAAATCACACTGGATCACTCACTCAAATCTTAATTTTCAGTAAAAGTGATTTAATTTATCCAGTAAAAAAATTAGATTCAACTGAATTGAGATAAATTATTCCTAAAATGAGGTTATCCACATAAATGAAATTGATTTCAGTTATAACTTGTACTTATATTATTTTGGGCTTGTATTAAAACAGTGCTTAGTAGCTCTTAGTGTGGGAACTAACAGAATATTATCAGTTAAAAAGGAAGTACTGAACAAAAAGCCTTGAGCAACAAATAATCACAGGGTTTTCTATCTTCCTTACTTAGATAAAAAATGTTGAATAGCTACAGGTGTTTGTTGCAACTGAGATTTCTAACTGGTAATTGCTCTGTGGGTTGCACCAACCTCCATATAGTAGAAGAGTGGAACTGTTAGAAGGAAATTCAGTTTTACATCTGCATTTGTTTTGCTTGGATGTATCTGTGACAACTTTTTAGGGTATGTTTGGAGCAAAATCTCCGCAAGTATAATTTAGGGGGAAGTATAAAATTATGTAACAATGGAAGGTGTCTTTTAAAGAGAGAAGAATCGACTCCTTGGGATGAGTTGTTTAACCTTCTGTTAAAAGCAGAAAGCTGGTAAAACTTTCTAAAATACATTGGCAAAAGAAGTCTTTGCTAGTGTAACATATACCAGTTCCCCAAAGAAAATAAACTCCACCACAGACAACCCTCATTTCTCTTCTCTGTTACTTAATCTCATTTGATATGCAGTGTGTACATTTGATGATCAAATTTTCTGTTTAGGCATCCCTGCTTATCTTATGTATCCTGTCTACGCTGTACCTTTCCAAAGGTGGATGGATGTACTTGAATCTTGAAATCTGGATTGCAGGTTTCAATATACAGTTCATGTAGTAGCCGACAGGGTACAGTGCATCCTCCACACAAGTAGAAATTATCAGCTAGCCTTTAAAACAAAAACATCAATTGGTTTGTATCAGAATTAGAAGAAAGAGTTGTTAGATTTTCAAGTTCTGTTTTCCTTGTTTCCAAGGTATAAGAGAGGTCATGTGAGACTCTGCTATGAAATTAACTTGTTCTCATGATTTTTTAATTCAAAAATATAACTTTGTAATATTATAACATTAACACCAATACAGCCAGTATTAACATTTCTCATATGCATATCAAAAGATCTAACTTTGGTCTTCTAAACAGAAAGGTCTCCACTATACCAAAGACAATAATAGGAGAATTTTTCCACCTGAAATGTGAGATATGGTGATTTGAAATAGAGAGTACACAAACTGTAAAGGACAAAATTCTGTTTTTATACAACCTCACTGATTTTAAGACAAGTTTATTAAGAGAACAGAATTTTAATTTACAGTTACTATGTAACAGAACTGCCAGGACTGAATCAGGTTTAGATGTTTAAATATTCATCCTTTAGCCAAAGCCCTGACTCATCTTACTTATCAGAATGGCCATAGTCAAGTAAATGCAACTACTTGTGTAAATAAGGTGAGGAAGACGTAAACTTGGTTACTTATTAGCCTAAGGTATTACCTTCACTGGGAAAAAAATGACTTTTAATTATGAGATAATGCCAATGGTATTGATGTCAGAAGATAATAGCCTGCAGTACAAATACAGGAGCAAAGCTGAAAGGAGCAGAGAGATTAATTTTCAAAGCATAACACATTGCTCGTATGACAGTGGTTTCTTACTCTAACTGTGCTTCCATTCTACCAAATACTTTATGCATATTTAATTAATTTATCAGATGAATGCTAGTGCAGCACAGTGCCAGTTACTCACTGTGTCTTTACTGATAATCCAGTTGGTTGGGAAAGAAGACTTTTTATATTCACTGGGTGAGATAAGCCAGCTGGATTTTAAATCAGCATCCTCTGTTTTATCAGTAGCCTGACTTCAGACAACCCAGTGTTTATCTTTCTGAACTAGCTGTATTGGCAGTAGATAGCAGACAAGGTCTTCAGCAAACTGGCCTGAGCAAGAAGATGGTCACTGTGCTGCCTGACAATGTCTACCTCACCTTTTATTCATGTCTCCTGCCCTTCTTCCACTGAAGAAGGCTTTCTGCCTCCCCTAGACTTTCTTCTCCCCAGCAAAAGACCCCCAAATGCCTCACTTATACCTCCTTGGAAACCACCTTCTCACCCACCAACCCAGGAGCCTGGTACTGTTAAGCATCAGGGCTGAGCTGCACTGGGCTCCCTGCCAGCTCCCAACCACCTCCAGCCCCACCACCCAACAGAAAAGGTTTCACCAATAGACCTGAGCAGGAACCTGCATCCAAAGATAGGGGATCTGCTGCGTTACTGGGGTATTTCCCATCAGCAGGCTCAAAGGTAAATGAAATTTACTCTAGATAAGAGTCCTGACTGAGCCCTGCCTCCCAGCAGGCAGAAATGTTGTTTCTTCTAAAGCAACCATCTAAAACCCTTCACAATTAAGCAGTCCCATGGGAGATTAAAGCTTAGTCCAAATTCATCCTTAATATAACACCAAAAGAGTCACTGGAAGTGCGTCATAAATTAATTCATGCTTCAGTAGCTGGTTTCTGCCAATAGTTTTTCTTCAGCATTTAACTACTTAGCGACAAAATATTTTGGAATTTCCTTTTGTGAATTTATCATCTATTAAACTGCCAGTCTTTTTCAAATAATAAGTTAAACATGTTCTTAGTGCTGACACATAATACAAGAATACTGTCTATTAGGAAAAAAAATCCACACAGAAAAGAGCACCGTGCTCATCTTCTTGCCTATTAGCCTTGAGGTTTTCAAAACTTGAGGTTTTATGGCATCATCAAACCAAAACTGCTAATAGAGACAAAAAAAAAAATCAAAAGACAAAAGTGGTAAGGGAGAAAGACTGAGGTTAAACAAAAAGCACACAGCAAAAGACCTCCTCCATTTATCTACTATCTATCCACACTTTGTGTGTGATTTATTATCTGACTGATTTTAGGACCTCACATGGACTCCAGGTTTTTGGGGTTTGCCACCTGTTCTATTCGAACCCTTGGCAGCCAGGCCTTTATACAGGTTGGCAAGTCTGCTGTTAAATCATTTCTGGACCAAAATCTATTTTGCTGTTGACAATGCACCAACTGTAAAATGAAGCTGAGCATTTAAAATTTTTCAAAACATGAAAAGGGGATTCAGAAGGTTGTCATGATGAAAAAAAAATCATCAGTTCATCATTTCAAGGATTTTTTTGATTCAATTTTATACTGTGTCTCAAACCTGTTGGATGAATGACCTTGGATGAATCTCTTCCTTCTGTCCTTTTAAAATAGGAATGCTGGCATCTATATCACAGTAAAAACACAGATGAGCTCCCACTGCTCAGGTATTACTGAGAGGGAGAATAAAATGTTTTAGGATTACTTGCTGACAAGTTAAAAATTTGTTTGTATTTGTTATTACTGTTTCACACAAAGCTTCAACACTACTAGCTGGACTCATCTGTGATTGGGGAAAGTAGGAAAGTATCCCTGGTTTCTCTTTGGCCATCACATGGCAGGTGATGCTCTTCTCAAAGCACAAGAAAATGATGATGACAACCTTACTCCACTACAGAAAGCGTCTCATTAAGGAGTTCAACCATTACCTTCGTCTCAAGAAAGCATAACCTCGGAGAATGTCTAATGCTCAGCATCACACTGAGTGAGTGCCAGTGTCCCACCAGCTGTGCAGCCTCGCAATCACTCGTGGCAGGCTGTAAGAGCCCACCAGTCAGGAGTGGTCCAGCCAGGGAGAGCTCTTGCCAGCTGCCCTGCAGCATCACACCAAGTGGGTGGCAGCCCCGGGGCCAGGTCCCGGCCAGTGGTCAGGCTGACACAAAATCCCGTTTCCCCCGTGTCAAACCACCTTTATATCAGAAAGGCTTGTGGCAGATGGGACTTTCAGGGAAGTTTCCTTGCTTTCTCGGCATCGTTTATGCACCACAGTGATGACGGGTCTTTGCAGCAAACCAGACTCTTGCCCCACGGAACCGCGAGAAACGCTAAAAGCAGGATTCCTGCGCTCTCCGTGGCAAGCCCACCCGGTGGGTCCTGCGAGCCCCTCAGTAAGGGGAGAGCCCAGTCGCGCCACCTCCCCACTCCATCCCCAGCCACGGCCCGCCCCCGGGAGCAGGGCAGGGGGCAGCACCCACCAGTGGAGGACGGGCAGGTACGTGAGGGAAGTGGGGCCGCAGTAAGCCATCTCGGCGGGCTCCGGGGCGGGCTGTGGCGGGGTATCGGCCATTGGTGCGGGGGCCGGCGGGGCCGGCGGGTAACGGACGGCGGGTAACGCCCGGCCCGCGCCACCCCCGCGCCCGCCCCGCGCCCGCCCCGCCGGCCGCCGGGCAATCCGCGCATCCCCCCGGGGAGGGCTGCCCTCGGTGCCACCGCCAGCATCCCTGGCATTCACCGGCATTCCTGGCACCCGCCAAATGGGAATTTCATAGGAACTGCAGGTGAGAAAAGGAATTACATGCAAATCGGAAAGAAGTGAGAATGGCCGGTTGTGCGGCTCTACATCTAAATATCACGTAGTGACAGGAGAAGGGGGAATGGCTTCAAACTGAGGGTAGGTTTAGACTATGTATTAGGAAAAAAATATTTTTCCTTTCTTTACTATGAGGGTGGCAAAGCACTGAAACAGGTTGCACAGAGAAGTTGTGGATACCCTATCCATGGAAGGGGCCAATGGATGCCCCATTGTTGGATGGGGCTCGTGGCCCTGCCCATGTCAGGGGTGTTGGAACTACGTGATCTTTAGGATCCCTCCCAACTCCAGCCATTCTGTGATTCCATGATTCTGTGATCACAAGTGCCATCTTATAGGTTTTGCATGCCTTTAAAATGTTACTTTCAGAGTTTTCAACAAGAATACCATAACCTGCCATAATTCATAGAATCATAGAATCAACTGGGTTGGAAAAGACCTCTGAAATCACCAAGTCCAACCCTTGGATCAAACACCACTGTGGTTACTAGATCATGGCACTAAGTGCCACATCCAGTCTCACCTTAAAAACCTCCAGGGACCATGAATCCATCACCTCCTTAGGCAGCCCATTCCAATGTCTGATTACTGTAAAAATTTATTCCTGATATCCAACCTAAACCTCCCCTGGCAGAGCTTGAGACCGTGCCCTCTTGTCCTACTGCTGGTTGCCTGGGAGAAGAGACCAACACCCATCTGGCTACAACCTTTCAGGTAGTTGTAGAGAGTGATGAGGTCTCCTCTGAGCCTCCTTTTCTCCAGGCTAAACAGCCCCAGCTCCCTCAGCCTCTCCTCATAGGACTTGTGCTCAAGTCTCTTCACCAGCCTCGCTGCTCTTCTCTGGACCTGCTCCAGCACCTCAATATCCTTCCTGAACTGAGGGGCCCAGAACTGGACACAGTACTTGAGGTGTGGCCTCACCAGGGCTGAGTACAGAGGAAGAATCACTTCCCTGGTCCTGTTGGCCGCACTGTTCCTGATGTAGGCCAGGATGCCATTGGCCTTCTTGGCCACCTGGGCACACTGCTGGCTCATGTTCAGCTTCCTGTGTATCCAAACTCCCATGTCCCTTTCTGCCTGGCTGCTCTCCAGCCACTCTGTGCCCAGCCTGTAGCACTGCATGGGGTTGTTGTGGCCACAGTGCAGGACCCAGCACCTGGCCTTGTTGCACCTCATCCCGTTGGAATCAGACCATCTCTCCAGCTTGTCCAGGTCCCTCCGAAGAAAATAGTTTAATTTCTCTTTGATACGGATAGATGAAAGGTCTGTGTGCTCTGCTGAAACCCTGTAAGCACTTTTCCATTGCAAGTATCCACTATGCAAAATGAGCTTTGCTGCCATGTGACTGATGAAGATAAATTATGTATGGCTGGAGCATCTAAAAGCTTACTAGTGGATGGCTTTGGGTTACATCAGAGCTCAGCTTCTCAGAAACTCCCACGGCTCCCTCCTGTTAATTAACTTCCTGAAAGCCCACATATGAGACAGACTGGCTTGCTTGCTTTGTAATGACAAGATGACCAAAGCCAACACGTCAGTAGGCAGCAGTATTAAAGCGGGAAGGAGGGGATGGACACGGACTTGGGGTCACAACACCAGGAAAGGGAATTTAGGGAAGAAGATTGCTGGTTTTCTAGTGCCTCAAAGTAGCTTGCTTTTGAGGAGCAGTGCACACAGATATCATGTATAATACATGTTGCTCTTAATCTGTGAAACCTCATGCTGTGTTGAAAACCATATGGGAAGATGCTGTTCACTCAAGTACTCACAGAGCTTGGATGACAACAGCACACAAGTCTTACAGTTGCTAGGGCTTGCAGTAGATACTGCCTGACATGCTCATGTCCAATTCAGGTGTGCCTGTCCATACTGCACTGAGAGCAGTCTCCTCCACTTAATCCACCTGAGGAACAGGAAAACTCAGCTCCAGTTTCCAACAACTGGATTGCTTATATGTTTGCATGTGCTTCTGAGTCCTGGTCATAGTTCTCAGGGGTCATGACCAACAACTGACTTTTTGGGACTATCTGAAACTCCGCAAAGTTAGGGAAGCTCCCTAGGCCTGATGCCTGAGCAGGAAAAAAAGACCCAAAAAACATTTACAACTTATCTAAAACTGAAAAATGATAAATGGACTATTTCTGTGGTAACAGATTAAAACAAAGGAAGTCACACAGATCAGAAATTCCCTGGAGTACACCTAATACTCAGAAAGGTCTTGATGAGAGGAAGCAAAAGATGCACAAAATACCTGTCCAGTTACTGTCGATGGCTTGAGAGATATAAATAAGGTCACAGAACTTCTCTTGCCCAATTTCCAGATAATGAGATGGATAGATCTGCGTACTGTTCAAATCTTGACACTACTTTTATTTGATTAGGCTCTTCCCATTTTTTTCATAAAATGACTCTTTAACCTTTCAGATAATTCTAACACTTGCTTTTTTTGAGGGGGGTGGGGAGGGAAGAAGGCAGGGATGGAAGGGAGATTCTGACTTGAAATGCCAGACTGCTAGTAGAATTTGATTGAAAACCTGAAATCTGCTTCTTCAATTTAATCCAGTCAGATTGGGCTGGGTGGATGTACATTAGGTCAAGCTGTAGAAAGTCTTTATTCTTGCGTAAGTTGAAAGTTGCAAAACTCTTTATTGCTGTCATGGACATACTCCTTGTGCAAAATTAAAGAGTATTTAATGAACATGCACTTTGACTGAAAAAAAGTTGGACCTAAAATTAGAAGTATGGTTGAACTGATTAAAGAGGTGCTAAAGAAGCTCCCTTCCGCTGACTTTTATCCATAACTAGCACAAATTTAAACCAAACTCTGAGGTAACAAACATCTCCAAAACATTGTAAGGAGTGTCTTTAGCATAAAATTGCCTCTTCAGATTACTGCCTTTGCTCAGCCCCCCCATTCAAGAGAGGATTTGGATACCTTGTGAGAGTTGGATGGCTTGTGAGGTAAACAGATCATGTAAGAGCTTTTGCTGCTGACAGCTGTTCAGCTGATGTCTCTCAGATATTTACAGTTTTTTAAAATAAGTGCTTTATAAGATTTTTAATGCTTAAGCTAAAGTATGTACGAAACAGTCATGAAGGCAAGTGAATCCACTACAGCTTCCACTACCAGCAGCAATGAAAATATGTGACTGTAGTAAATTGTATGTTCCTCTAGAGTTGAAAAGAGTTGAAATACCTCTGTGGTATTTATTTCATTTATTCTCATGTAGAAAGGAATGGGTAAAAGAGGTTGAAAAGTCAAATAAAAAAACCAAATATTTCCCTGACACCACCAAACCAAGGTTCTGGAGAAGCATACCATTATATTTTCAATATGAAAAGTTAAAAGAATTGGGTCAGTGTTAGTTTAAGAGTCCTGGTGGACCAAGGTAAACATCCCTATTTGGGAAATGAACCAGTACATTTTGTTGGTTTGGCTTTTGTTTGTTTTTTTTTTTTTGTCTCTACTAGTTGACCTCCCAGGGACAAAATTGCATATGTGCAAAGGTTTACTCTTTTTCCTTTCTTCAAGATCTGAATAATGCCAATGACCAGGCATTACCTCAAACCAATCAGCTTACTGTGAGCAGAGATGTTCAGAGTCCTAGTTATCTTTCAAACTTTAGTTTAAAATATATCACTTGAAAGAATTAAAAAAATACAAAATGTTATATCCGGTTGTGTCACAACGTTTGAAGCAGCAGCAAAACCAAAACAGGATTGCAACCACCTTCTTGAATATAATGCTTTGACATTGTAGGAAACTGTCCTTCACAAGCCACACTCTTTGACATGAATGCACATGAGGAAGAAGAAGGCTCCTCTCCTAAGTGCCTATGGCATGTGAACTCTTTTGCAGATGAAAATCCAGTTCAGCAAAGCTTGTCAGCATGTGTGTAAGACTGCTTCATTTCAGCAAAGCATTTATGAATGCACTTACATTTAAACATGTACTTAGCTGAATTGTTTTGGTGAGTGGGGATTGATGGCTGAATTGAGGCATTAAACATTAATGATGGAGCTGGAAACACAAAATAGTATGTAAATTGGGATGTGTCATGTTGGGACTAGAATAAACTGATTCAAACACTGCAATCATTGCATGATTAAGATCTCTTGAAAGATGTGAAGCCATTAGAAAGTCTTAGAACCTGGTGACTTGAGAAGGGGCACAATCACTGCCAATCATTCAGTCCTCACCTCATCTCAAATCACTTGGTTTTGGAGTGTTTGGTGGGGAGACTGGGTGGAAATCTCTTCCACTTAGAAACTGAAACACTTAAATTTCTGTTGGTACAACATTAATTCTAGATGTTGCCCAGAACACTGTCATCTATTGATCTCCTTTTAACCAGGATGAAAAATGACTTCTTTGACTTCTTTTGGTCCAGCCACAAGTGGTAGCAGGGTCTATCTGAGCAGCTCTGTCCCTCTAGTCTGTAGAGATTCTGATGTGAACACTTTCCATGGAGCCCTGCTGGTCACCCTTTGTGCTCCTGTACAGGCAGTGCCTCTAGGAAGGTGACCATGGAGCTGAGGACTGTTGTTTCCACCATATGCTGATAATACCTGCTCATTGTATTTCCCTCCCTTTAGACCTGCTCAGGGCATCCAAACACTTTAGAAAGTGAGTTGTGAAGATGGAGATATGGATAAAAGCCTATCTGTCCAGAAGACACTGAGCTAATGCTTGCAGAAGAAAGAAACTGCTTTATTTCTGCTTGGCAGAAGATGCTGTATTTGCTCCTCCAAGTATAAGTAGTAATATGTTATGCTTCCCAGATACATTCTTTTTGTGGTTTTCTTTTCTACATTTTGGATGCATGCTTTCTGTTAAGTTATCTTTCTGTTTATTGGACAATCTGTTATTATAGCTGTGCTATAAACTCTGAAACACTGATGCTAGTTTTGCATGTTACAGTAATTTGAACAGAAACAAAATATTTTTTTTTTCTGTACAATAAAAGC